CCCTGCTTCCTGGCACTGGAGAAATACTTTGCATCCTAAAAGCTGAAATAAAAATTGCTGCTATTGTTTAAAACATGCAAAAATGTATCATTTATTCAAATGCAAGATTTGTAAATCATTGAATTTCATGGGAGATGAATCATTAGTCAAAGTGCAGACTGCACTAGAGGTCATATTTAATTTATTTTCAAAGCCTTCATTCGTGCTTTTTGGTCCAGTATGTCATAAGTTATTCAATATACAAAGGTGTCTACTTATGTCTCACAATAATTAAGCTGATTAAATCATATTATCACTAACAAGAAGCATTAATTCCACTTGAGTGAGCACTGCAAACAGAGTCAGTGACATTTGCACCACTTAAGCTGAAAACACATTATAGGCAAACTGGGGAGGCAAAAGCCTCACTTAGCCCTGGCCCGTTTCTTCATCTGATCTCTGTGGAGGAGTTGGCAACTGATGCTTTCAGAACAGTAAAAAAAAAATAAAAATAAGAGAAGATGCAAAGGAGCAGAAAAAAACAGCATGTGACAGTCATGCAGACCATTTTTCAGTGTGGCAGAGGCTAAATTATTATCACAAAAGCTAAAGAATATTTATTTCTAGAAAACCTCTACTGAGATCAAAAAGGAAACGGGAGGAAGAGATCCAGCCATGAACAGCAGGCTGCTCTGTAGGGCGAGTCCAGGGAGATATTTAATATACTGAGGCAATTTGGAAAGGAATCAGGATGGCCCTTGACCCACTCTTGGCTAAATGAAGATGTGCTCATTCCAGCATCATATCCAAGTGAAGAAGAGGAAGAGAAGAGAAGAGAAGAGGAGAGGAGAGGAGAGGAGAGGAGAGGAGAGGAGAGGAGAGGAGAGGAGAGAAGAGAAGAGAAGAGAAGAGAAGAGAAGAGAAGAGAAGAGAAGAGAAGAGAAGAGAAGAGAAGAGAAGAGAAGAGAAGAGAAGAGAAGAGAAGAGAAGAGAAGAACCGAGTCCTAGTATCTTTAGGACTGTAATTAACCCCTGAGTGCCACAGACTTTGGGCTGGATCCAGAACCCTACAAGGTCACTGTGCAGACTCCCACTGGTCCCCCTGGATTTTAGCTCTGTTCTAATGATAAAGACCCCTCTGGGGAGCTGAGACCACCCGTATTCATGGGTCTACCCAGCCTAACCTGACAGCATGCAGAGTGCTGTGTTCCCAGTAAGGTTTCTGGGGCCTTCACTGTCTGCTGCTTGTTTTCATGTGTGGCAGATTGGAGTAGAGCTGAGCAGCAGCCCCTCTAGGTCTTTCCCCCTGGCCTCTTTTCTCTCTACCTCTGGATTCATTTTGTCTCTCTGCTATACATTTTCAGGTCATTACAGAGATATAAGCAACATTTCCATCCAAAGAATCTATTCAGTAATAGCAAGAGCATTGAAAAAACCCTTACTTGTGCTGGTGCCCAGAAGCACTATGTGCCTGCCTCGCATGGCCTGCAGCATTTTGCAGCCAACTGCACCACATGGCAGCTTTCCTGCTGTTGTAGAAGCAAATCTCAAGCTGGCTGGCAGGTCCCTGAAAGCCAGATTTGCCTCTGGATCTCTGAGAGAGATGGAATGTATGAGAGGGGCATACAAAAAGCATGCTGTGGAGTATATCTCCAAAGTGGCTCTCATGCCCAGTGCATTACTAGACTGCAGAAACCGGCTAATATTCATGAACTGTGCAGGAGTGTAAGCACAGGAAGAGTTGTAAAAATAACTGGTTGTAGGACAAAGACCTTGAATTTTTAATGACACCCTGTCCCTGCGGGAGACCTTCAAAGGAGATCTCATCTATTAGATGGATGATTCTGCCCAGGCATGCCCTTGAAGAAGGGATAGAAGTGTGGTTGAATCAGGTTTAAGCAAGGGCTCTCTCCCCTAAAGCAAGTCCCTTTATATTGTCCTTTTTATCAATATGTTGATTGTTGAGAAGAAAGATTGAAGTTGAGCTCTTGTCACCACAGGATTTCCTTCAATGAAACCAGAGGAGATCCTCAGGGAATGTGGGGTGTTGGAACCGGAGCTGCATGCTGTGTTGACCCTCAAATCCCTTTTGGAAGAGGGTTGACCTAAACATGCAAACCTGGGGATCAGTGGGAGGTGCAGATATGTGTATCGGTCTCATCTCCTGGGCTGAGGATGGCCAGGAGTAGTGGAGAGGGAGGGAATTTCCTGGGCCTCAGCTGAGCCTTCATAATAGGGGTTAAAAAATGCCAAGAAAATATAGTGGAGATTGACACACTCACAGGTAGGTGGCAAAAGCTGCCCACTTGGCTGCTCAACCCCATGAATTTCCAAAGCCAGGTATGCAAAGTGTCCCTTTCAAATGCTTATGGGTTTGGGGATCAGTTCTGAGACCAGTTTCCCTTTGGGAAGCTATACCTAGGGATCTGATACAAAGCACCAGCTCTGTTTGTTTAGATCCTGGATACCATGAAGCACACGTACTAGGTGCTTTTTCTGATGGATCTAAATCACAGCCAAGGACTTGACCCTAATGCTGAGATGCTGTGGCTGAGCCCCCCATGGGCTTGCTGGAGGGGGGCTGCAAGTCCTCTCCTAATGCCTCACTAACACAACCCAAAAATGGCAGGGCAGATATTGCCAGAGCTAATCCGGGAGAGAGAGGTGCTTGCTGGCCCGCGGGGAGTCAGGTCCATTTGATGCTTTTATTACTTCTTGAGGCTGTTATTAATTTTATTGTATTGCTTTACATAATTCTCTTGTTCTTTTGAAGCAGTGAAAAGGACTAATGCTGCACAAAGGTCTCAGGCAGCAGCTGTTCAGGGTTCTTTTTTTACCCTTAACATTCTGTAGAGACCATTGAAGAATGTACTTGGCAGCATAAAATCCTTCATCTACCATCTAATTGGGACAGGGAATATTTCATCTGTTCATAGTCAGGCAGATGTGAGCTGGGATGGAAGTCACCAGAAGCAGCCAGGTCCCTTTCATGTCCAAAGCACTGCCCTCCTGGGTCCCTGACTCCCATGGGGGCCCCTTTGAGTGTTCTCTGCCCCCTGCTTCCAATAAAGAGCACATTACCCACTTGTAGACAAGGACTTTTCTGGGTTAATCCCAAAAGCTGCATTGCAGCCTCCCCAAGGCAGTCACTGAGCAAGCAGGGGGTAAGAGAAGGAGAGCCATGGCACGGCCATCTCAGGACTTCATCCCAAAATGAACTGCCTCCCACATCAAGTCAAGAGTCATCCCACCAGTAGATATGGGCTTGCCTATTCCCAGGTGGTTGGTACCTACAGCTGGCATCCATCCAGGTTATCTCTGCAACTCCCAAGGCCAGCTGATGGATGGTGAGCATCCAGGGGAAAGCTTAAGTGAACCACAGAAAACAAGACACAACAGTAAACATTACTGCCAGATCCAGCACCTTTTCCCAGCAGTTCAAAGCCCTTCATGCCCATGCCTTGGTGCAAATCCCTGCAGAGTCTCTGCGCAAGCTGGAGGATGGGACAAGGAGCTGTGTGACATCTTCAGCACGTGGCTCCTCCGTGCCATGACCCCAAAGTGCTCCTTAGTCCAGGGAAGGAGAGAAGGTGACCTTGAGCCCCCAGCATGCAGGTGAAATTAATAAAATGAGCTCTCCTGGGCTGCTCCAGCAGCTAAGGGGGCCAGAGGGACATGTCTCCTGGAGCTGAAAGCTCTGCTCCAAGAG